TCTTATAGGGCAGCATAAGGGGAGTGTCTAGGGGTACGCACAGGCTCAGGATTGGTGTGCCTTCAGACTTGGAGGGTTTGCCCTATGTTGACTGGTCAACTGGTTGTTATGGCCCATAGGCCCTACCAGGGTGGTTGCTATGTTCTGTGAGTCATTGCTGTGCACTTATCCATAAAGCATACCCAGAGCCGTGAAGCATAGTACCACCAGCTAACTTCTGATTGGTTCCTTGCCACAAGGCAGGCATCTAAGCTCCTAGTGATTAGTTATGGCAAGCACGTGTTCGGCTGTTATGGCTGATGAAATGGGGAGCTGGTCCCTTCAAGCCCAAGACCTCATGAGTGATATGTGGCACTTACCACAGTGTCACACGCCACTTGGTCAAGTGTTTGTTGGAAGAGAAGGATGCTGAGAGGTTATATGCTGGCAGCATGTGATCATGAAGGGTGAAAAAGGGAGGGCCCTGCAGGACAGTAACTAACACTGTATTAGACGTAGCGCTGGCTGACGCCTGTGAAGGGCATGCCTTTAAACACCTTCCTCATCATTATGGGCATAAATATGTGGTTTCTGTGATAGGGGATGTCCTTCTGTATATATGTTTCTCTTATTGGTTAATGGATAAAACACTGATTGGCCAGTAGCCAGGCAGGGAGTATAGGTGGGGCTACCAGACTAGGAGAATTCTGCAGAGAGAAAAGCAAAGAAGCCAGAGAGTCACCATGTAGCCACTGGGTAGGTAGGAAGTCTGGGCATTTGCCAGTAAGCCACCACATAGAAATACTTAGATTGATAGAAATGGGTTAATAATTAAGAGAGAGCTAGCCAATAAGAAGCCTGAGCCATCGGCAAACAGTTTACAACTAATATAAGCCTCTGTGTGTTTACTTGGGACTAAATGGCTGCGGGACCAGGCAGAACAGAAACTTCGTCCGCAAATTCTATATTAGACTGTACTGGCAAAGAAGTTAGGACCAAAGTGTCAAAGACCTGGAAAGATTATCATTCCAACAGTGACATAAACATTGTTTATTTGCAAATTCTAGGTATCTTTCCCCCAAGATACTTGAAAGTGAAAGCAGGGAACCTGGTATATGGAGACAGCTGCACCTCTAAAATAACTATACAAGAGCTCTGGACGGTGCTCTGCCATCTGGTCTGGCGGGGGGCACATGTTCTGAGTAACTGGTGTTCATAGTAGTCTTTAGTAACATACACTTGGTCTTGTGTTGGCTGTTATAAACCTCAGAGTCAAATAAGTGGTCCACATTTAAGAGATTTTCAGAATCTAATACCATGACTTGGGAATGTGTCCGATTGTGTTCCTCTTATCCTGGTTTTTCACTTTCCTTCTTTCCTAGTAAGTCAGAGTGAAAATAAACACCACTAAAGTAGAAGACACACAAACTAAAGGGAGGCCCAGAAAGAGTCCTAGGACTAAGACAGTTCAGAGTGAGCAGTCACAGTGGGTACTGTGCTTCTCTCCGTCTGTCCGTATGTCTCTGGGTGTTGGTAGAAGAGTGGGGCCGGGGGACTCATGTCTCAGATTTGTGGTTAGAGGGGAAGCGTTACAGAAGAACAGCTATTCCAGAAGCTGAGGCAGGAGGATCACAGGTCCAAAGCTTCCTTGGTCTATGGAATGTGTTCAAGACCAGCCAAGGCAGCTTCGAAACACCCTGCTTTAAAAGGTAAAAGGTGGGAGGGGCTGGGGGCACAGCTCAGTCGCAGAGCACCTGCCTAGCATGAGCAAGGCCCCAGGCTGCCACT